ATAGCACTACCTGTGTTGAAGGCTTCCGTGTATGTGGGATCCTTTTGTGTACCTCTGCTGCTGACCAGGAGAACTTTCTGTTGCTGGATGATGGAAACATGGTTTTCTTGGGCAGTCGGAGTCTATGGATGACTGTATTTCATCAGCTTACGCTTGGAAGTATCTTTGTAAGTAGAATACATACCTTCATACCTTTGAAATTTGGCTAACCTATAGTGTTCAGTGCGACGGAAGATACAAACAATCCCTGCGGTGATGAAACATGGACCGTCGTCGCAGTCATACATTATCACAGGAGATCTCGAAAATTCCTCCGTTGTACCGCTGCTATACGTCTTCTTACCCGATGGCACCGAAATGATGTATAAAACCGTACTCTTGGTTTTGAGAGGTCGGGTTGTACGTCTTAGCAGAGATGCCAGGAGTGGGCCTGAAAGTGTGAGTTTGCACAGGTTTCTCGAACAATTGCACTATCAAACACCTTCATTTTTCAGATGCTTCTTCAATTACACGCAGAGCATTCTGCTGCACAGTGATGAGGTCCACTTGCGTAACGCGGCTAATACCAACAGTCATACGGATGTTATTCCGCAGGATCTGAATGCTGCCCCTCCAATCACAAATTACATAAGCATATCTGAAGCAGAGCACCAGGCCCACCTATAGCTACCCTCCCCCGGGAGCATCTTGCCATGATCGCCTTTTTGCGATATTGGCACCTGGGGTGTTAGCGGCCGCTTCGATAGCTCCTTATTTAATCACTCATCAAGCCGATTCATTAACAACGAACCACGCAGAGAGATTCCACACCAGAACTTCACAGCTTTCCCCAGAGGAACACCTACACAACACCTACACTATCCCAAGTGTTGGAACTTATAAGAGGACCATTGCTAAATCTCATGGCGCCCCATAAGAGATTTAGCAGCACCACTCCTTAAGCCGCCATGCTCCGAAGACAAACCGAAACTGCTGCCGAAATGGAAAGTTTCAGGGCTGTACTCGTGATTCTCAATATTGTTCCATACGAGACAGTGTAAGGGTACAGCCTACCGACCAATACTGAACTTGTTGTTGTTGTTATTGTTGTTACATCTAATAACTTGATAAATGATAATAAAAGAACTTCACTATATTCACTTCCAAAATAGATGCCAGAAACATCTTTAGAGAAGAAATCCTCTATCGTTGTCACCATTAGCAATCGAAGGCGCCACTACGATCAGTTTGGTTACATGAAACGAACATGGACAAAATGGACGAAATAGCTGTCGCTCGCTCGTTCGATCGCGGCTTCACTACGCTCTAGCCAGCTAGGGGCAGGATTGCAGTGGCCTTTCTCTGAGGAAAAGGCAGAAACGGCGCGAGAACGCTCGTGTCATCGGGAATCCCCCTTTTCGCTGTGCTATGACTCTTCTCCGTCAGAGAACGTAAAGGAAGTTGATTAGCCCGTAAACCCTGTGGTTAGTAGTCACAGTGATAGCTGAAATCTGTCTTCTTCTGCCAGTCTCTCATGCCTTGATACCTCCAAATTTTGTGACTGGTGCTAGAGCTGAAGAGAAAGTTCTCAAGTGATTGTCGTGAAAAGCGACAGGCCAATCCCCCTAGGGTGGTCACGCGACAGCATGCATGCGAGCCCATACCACTACCGCTGCGCTTCCGGCTTCGCAGCTTCTACAGCTAGGCTGTATAATCGTTTGCTAGATGGGGTTTTGTTCTTGCGGCGTCTCGAAGCGAGTAGAACAGTGTGCATTGTTATTCGAATGGGTTAGGGTTGACCTTATGACCATTCCAGGGGAGAGGATTAATCTGAACAACGGACCCTCGATGTGAACCTCGAAGATGAAGATGCCAAAAGGGGCGGAAGTTTTGTAGCGGCAGGTGACACTGCGCACTACGTGTGCGTTCTGGAGAGATCAGACCCAAAATCGTCCACTGATTGAACCAACATGAACAAAAATAGGAGGAGGTATTTATTATTAACAGTGAATAAAAACGACCTGGGTAACCAATTTTACTGGGTTTTTTGTTTTTTCAACGGGAGACAGCGCCGAACTACCCGGAATACGATATACAATACGAGGCTAATCAGTGATAAAAGTGTAAGAGCTACTATCAAAAGTAAATCAAGATTATGGTAAACAATAAACCCTAGATTCTTGCCGGCGACCCTTAGTTCAGGTAAGTCACCAAATTCTGCAGCAAGTTCGACAGTTTTGATCAATTTCTCCTCAGGGCTAAACGGACGTCGCGATAAGAGGCGGCCGATCCTTGTAGCGGAGTCTTGATACCTGAAAAACACTTCATGGCTGAGTACTCCAAACTAAGTCTCATAAATGGGAAAGCACAACGAAGGAGAAGATCTGCTATCACTCACTTTTTGTCACTAATTACTCGATCGATAGCTTCATGAAGTCCTCTACCGCCAAGTAGCTCAGTTTTCTCCACTATGACTCCTAAATGAATGACGATAGTTCCAAAATTGATAAATAAGAGACTCCAAATGCTTCACTCATGGAGGTTGAACGATTCCTGCTTACGCTCAACAAATTATCAAGGACATTTTCAGCAGTGAAAGAGAAAGCAGCGTTCTGCTTGCCAAAATTCACCTCCTTAACCGCTGACATAGAAACATACGCATTTCTGAGACGCCTTCGAAGCCGCGCCGTGAGTTGAAGGAATTCTTCTCGAAGAATTCTTGCTCTCTTTCTCAACATAAAATACATATGTCAGTTGTGATCACTAGAGAGAACATTCAATGTTTCACGTGAGTTCGCGTCAAAGGCGGGGCATGAAAGGAGGGGCGCCTTGGGGCGGCCACGTATCAGGCGAGGCATTGGAAGGGTCGGGTTAACCCTTTGACGACAATGTGGATTTGCACGTAGCGTGCTCGTGGGACCACGCCTCTTTTTGGCGCGCCAACTCTCGCACAAAATGGGGCAAAATTGTCCCTAAAAGCAGTTTTTCTATCAAAATTTTGACTATGACAATAAACAAAATATGACTGCAGTCTTAAGCTTTATGATCATGTATTGTTGGAATTAGAAGTGGAAGTTTGGAAAGAAATCTCGGATTTCAAAGGGATGGTGTTTGAAAACTCTAGAAGTTCAAATGTACAGTAGAATTTTTGATATAGTTCAAACTCCTCCTTGTGTCTTAAGACTGTGAAAAGACGTAGAGGTCCTGATCTGTAATTCACCTTAAGCTTAATAATGTAAAACACTAGTTAATACATCGCCGAGCGAAGTGCCATATCCTAAAATTTCATATAAATTAGCTAGTAACAAACATTTCTGCAAAATATGCTAAACATAGGCGTAACGGAGCTTGCTTATAATTACTGATATGTTGAAAATGCTTTAAATGGGTATAATGAGAAAATTTGGCACCCACCATTGGGTGCCATTGTCCCACGCGACGATCATAGTGGCACCCACCGGTGGTGCCATTCGTTCAAGGTTGAAGCCGTGTGATTGGGGAGAACAGAGACAAAACGATCGATGAAAAAGGATGCAATAGAAGTGGAAGAGATTAAGGAAATAAGTCAAAAGGTCAGAAAGAGTTTCTATTGACAGCGTTCCCGTGAACCCAGTAGAAGCGTTCCCATAGCGTGACAGATGTCCCGTGGAAATTTAAACGTGTAACAGTCCTCACATTTTTCGAACGAAAAAACGCAATTTCTTCGTTTTTTTTTTCGTTCTTATTATGAACAATGCCAGTGATTTCGGGTGAGAAAGAATCATATTTCTCCAAGAAGGATTCCTTTAGGCACAAAACATGGCATCTTCTCGGCTCAGTAGAGACGGCATTTCGACGAAGATCGTTTCAAAGACAGATGACACGATAGACTGACTGGCTACCCGTTGGGAGTAAAAGTATTGCCTTGAGAGCAGCAGCTGTCAATAAGTGACCCAATTGTCAGCTTTTCAAATATGTAGAAAAATGGGTATTTTCTACTAGGCTGGGCTTCTTTGAGCGAATATTTAACAAGAGTCGACGAATGTAGTGCGGCTTGCAATACACTACAAGCGATCTTGGGATAACCCTCTTGAAGTCAACAGTTATCATTTAGCCTATTCTTTCAACCATTCATAACATCAATCGTTACAAATAATATTGGATCACTTACCAAAGCCATATTTCCGCATCAACTTCGCATTTTTCATCTGATCGGCGAATAACGGAATGGCAATCACAGGCTTCCCTCGAGTTGCTGTCTCCAGCATACTGTTAACGCCACCGTGTGTGATGAAGAGCGTGAGACGATTATCGGCTGAAAACTCACATATGGTGCTCCCAGAACAATACGAGCACTTGCTTTAGCGATTTTTGTGGATGCACAAGTAGTGTACACCATTCCTGCAGGGAGTTCAAGCGCATATGCACACTGAAGCTGTGAAGCTCGATGAATTAGTTGAGCATTTCTCGTACTCCGAAAGTGAGAATGTGATTTACATTTCATTGGCCTAGAATTCAGCTCTCTTGTAGCACTTCATCACATCACATCGCAGCGGATAATAAAAGTAGAGATCGAGCAGTGGTTTTACCTA